GGCCTCCCAAAGTACTGGGATTACATGCGAGAGCCACCGCGCCTGGCCCCCTCAAAAAGCAGTTTTCTACTTTCAATCTTTATTTGTAGAAATAGATTTCTGATTACCCTCGAATGAGTCACAAACTCAAATTCCTATAGAGGCCAGTCAATTGAAAAGAGTATAGCCATTTAAATAATTTGCCTGTAGAACACATAATATGTGCTCACCTCTTTAAAACTTTCAGATATTTCAAGAAATTCTGGAAACTTTTTTGTTTTGTTTTGTTTTGTTTTGAGACGGAGTTTTGCTCTTGTCACCCAGGCTGGAGTGCAGTGTCGTGATCTCAGCTCACTGCTGAGATCGAGGGATTCTCCTGTCTCAGCCTCCGTAGTAGCTGGGATTACAGGCGCCCACCACCACGCCCAGCTATTTTTTTGTTTTTTTTAAAATAGAAATGGGGTTTCACCATATTCACCATATTGGCCAGGGTGGTCTTGAACTCCTGACCTCAGGTGATTCATCCACCTTGGCCTCCCAAAGTGTTGGGATTACAGACTTGCGCCATTGTGCCCAGCCTGGAAATTTGTTTTCTAGTACAAAGTTTTCTGATTTTCAAATGTTAGCAATTAAGAATTTTGTAATCACTCTGAGTCGAACAAAACACGAGTGGGGAGTCAAATATAGTCCATAGAAGGCCAATTTCCAAATCTATGTGTTTTATCTTCTGATATGCTCTCCCAGGAGGCTTATTGGGAGTTGTTAAGAATTACTTTAAAGGTAGTTTTAATTTTTAAAGAGAACTTTTTTCTTTACATTCTTGCATGTGTTTGATCTAAAACAGTAGATGTCAAAGTATGGGTCATTTACCAAAAAAGTATGCAGACTAGTCTGTAATACAATGTATGCACAAACAAGTTAGCCTCTGGAACATTCCCATCCAGCTTTGGGGGAAATAGGCAGATTTAGTGCGAGTGACATCATTGTAAGAAATTCATCTACTCTTAATTGAACAGCTTAAAGGCGAAGCTATAACTGGCAACGCTGTCTTCCTCATCTGTACACTAAACTGACAGAGGCCACCAGCCATCTTGGAGTTGGCAAGAGAGACTGAAAAAAACCTCACAGAAGATGATATCTAATGTCTGGTTCATTCCTTATTCTTTCCAGAAAAGCATTGCCTCACTCTTACTAATAGTTCCTCTGCTATGGCACAAATGACATATAAATATATAATAAATCAAAGGACCCTGGCTTTTGCTTTCTTCCCCACTCCCCCTAACCACCCCCCGTCTATGGTAGAAGAAAGAGGAAGAGGCACAGACTGGGTTCTTAATTTGTGTATTCTCTCCACAAATTTTGAGAACTGTAGGTCCTCTAGTAATACTCGTTAGGCAAGAATTTTGTGTAGTAAAAAATACTGTCATTCGCAAACATTTTTGGTCATTTATGTGGTCTTAATGCTAGTTCAAAGGTGTGTATGTGTGTGTGCGTGTGTGTTTGGAGATCAGTACTACATTTAAATAAACCACCATTTGTGAGATTTCACATAAAAATCTGGATTCTCAGCTTCTTTTGGAAAATGGAAGGAAGTTTCCCACATACGATAAGCTGGAGCTGAACATTAGCTAACCCATCTAGGAGAATTAGCCACTGAATGTATCACTTTCCTTTTATTTTGTAAACCTCTAGTCACTTTTGCTCTCTATGCCTGAGGTTCCTCATCTGTAAATGCAAATTATGATCATACCAACCGCATTGGGTTGTTACACGGATTAATTTTTAAATTAATAAATATATCAAGCACTTAAAATAATTCTTAGCATATGTTAAACAATCAATGCTAGTTGTTACTGCTATGTCTTTTGTATGTACAAGGTTTATTGTGCCGCTTTAGGGGTTGACTAACAAAAGAATGAGAAAATAATCACTTAGAACGATGCCAATGTCAAAGTGTAGAAAGAAAATTAAGCACAGATTCAAAGAGAAAAAGCGCAGTCCCAAGTCTACTCCTGTTACCTTGAACAAGTCTCTTAATTTCTCTGGGCTTTAGTGTCCTCATTTATAAAAAAGACAAATACATGTGTTGTCTTTAGAGGTCCGTTTCTGAAATTGAATATGATTGAAGGTTTTGGGGGAAAATTACAAGAAGTCATGCTGTGACAAAAGATGCCAAGAGGGATTAATTTTCTCCTTGAAAAACTGAATACTCTTTCAAAAATTTCTTAATGAAACTTCATGTTCACTATACTTCATATAGATTTAAACTATGATGCAGTGTTTTTCTTATGCTATCAGTTAAACACTGTTTCTTTTGCTCCATTCCTCCAGGAAAGAGAAATCTGGTCTTTGCTCAATAACAAGGAAATTCATATTCATTTCATTGAATGCATAAGTAGTAAAAGGGGATGTCAAGGCCAGGAAGCCGGAGAAAGCATTCTTGTTAGAGTAAACAATGCAAAATTTACTCCTATGTTGGCAGGTCAGGCAAAACTGAGAAACGTGACATGTTTAATTGTGAATGAGAGAAAGTACATGTCTTTGTTTACAAATCTCACTTACATGATAGTAGTCTCCCCCATCTTTCAACTGTATTAAATGTTATGGATTTGGGGCTATCTTTGTATAAGACTATAATCAAATTTTGATTTTAGTACCATATTATACGATACACAAAATTAGTTAACTTGATTCTTTGGCTAAGTTTAGGGTATATCAGTTGGCTTTTGGATATACATTAATTGTTTTAGATCACCAAATAGTTTTTTTTTAATTATACTTTAAGTTCTAGGGTACATGTGCACAACATGCAGGTTTGTTACATATGTATACATGTCCCCTCCCCCAGTCCCACAACAGGCCCTGGTGTGTGATGTTTCCCTTCCTGTGTCCAAGTGTTCTCATTGTTCAGTTCCCACCTATGAGTGAGAACATGCGGTGTTTGGTTTTTTGTCCTTGCAATAGTTTGCTGAGGATGATGGTTTCCAGCTGCATCCATGTCCCTACAAAGGACATGAACTCATCCTTTTTTATGGCTGCATAGTATTCCATGGTGCATATGTGCCACATTTTCTAATCCAGTCTGTCATTGATGGACATTTGGGTTGGTTCCAAGTCTTTGCTACTGTGAATAGTGCTGCAATAAACATATGTGTGCATGTGTCTTTATAGCACCATGATTTCTAAGCCTTTGGGTATAGACCCAGTAATGGGATTGCTGGGTCAAATGGTATTTTTAGTTCTAGATCCTTGAGGAGTTGCCACACTGTCTCCTACAATGGTTGAACTAGTTTACAGTCCTGCCAACAGTGTAAAAGTGTTCTGTTTCTCCACATCCTCTCCGGTAACTGTTGTTTCCTGACTTTTTAATGATCGCCATTCTAATTTGTGTGAGATGGTGTCTCATTGTGTTTTTGATTTGCATTTCTCTGATGGCCAGTGATGATGAGTATTTTTTCGTGTGTCTGTTGGCTGCATAAATGTCTTCTTTTGAGAAGTGTCTGTTCATATCCTTCACCCACTTTTTGATGGGGTTTTTTTTCCTTGTAAATTTGTTTGAGTTCTTTGTAGATTCTGGATATTAGCCCTTTGTCAGATGAGCAGATTGCAAAAATTTTTTCCCATTCTGTAGGTTGGTTGCCTATTCACTCTGATGGCAGTTCTCTTGCTGTGCAGAGGCTCTTTAGTTTAATTAGATCCCATTTGTCAATTTTGGCTTTTGTTGCCATTGCTTTTGGTGTTTTAGACATGAAGTCCTTGCCCATGCCTATTTCCTAAATGGTATTGCCTAGGTTTTCTTCTAGGGTTTTTATGGTTTTAGGTCTAACATTTAAGTCTTTAATCCATCTTGAATTAATTTTTGTGTAAGGTGTAAGGAAGGGACCCAGTTTCAGCTTTCTACAGATGGCTAGCCAGTTTTCCCAGCACCATTTATTAAATAGGGAATTCTTTCCCCATTTCTTGCTTTTGTCAGGTTTGTCAAAGATCAGATGGTTGTAGATGTGTGGTATTATTTCTGAGGGCTCTGTTCTGTTCCATTAGTCTATATCTCTGTTTTGGTACCAGTACCATGCTGTTTTGGTTACTGTAGCCTTGTAGTATAGTTTGTAGTCAGGTAGTGTGATGCCTCTAGCTTTGTTCTTTTGGCTTAGGATTGACTTGGCAATGTGGGCTCTTTTTTGGTTCCATATGAACTTTGAAGTAGTTTTTTCCAATAATGTGAAGAAAGTCATTGGTAGCTTGATGGGGATGGCATGGAATGTTTTTCCATTTGTTCGTGTCCTCTTTTATTTCATTGAGCAGTGGTTTATAGTTCTCCTTGAAGAGGTCCTTCACATCCCTTTAAGTTGGATTCCTAGGTATTTTATTCTCTTTGAAGCAATTGTGAATGGGAATTCACTCATGATTTGACTCTCTGTTTGTTTTAAGTTGGAAAGGACCTTAGAAATGATTTACTCTAAATTATGCTCTGGTGACATCCTGACAGCCTATAAAAGTGTCTAGAAAGTAGAATTCGTGACATTTACATCAAACAAAACCGGAGTGGGGAGTCGAATATAGTCCATAGAAGGCGAATTTCCAAATCTATGTCTTTTATCTTCTGATATGCTCTCCCAGGTGGCTTATTGGTAGTTTTATCTTCTGATATGCATTCCCAGGTGGCTTATTGGCTTATAAGAGCATTTTGACATAATTTTGGATGATAGTTTATGAAGGGATTTAAACAATTTGTAACAGATGAGATAGAAGGTAGCTTTCAATGAAATTTAACCCAGATAGTCTCAGGATAAGTGGTGCTAATGGGAATTTTTTTAAAGAACGTGGATAAGTAATTTTCTGTATTTATTAAGTGGTCAAAATGACTATATACATATGTGCATGGACTGTCATGGTAGTATGTTGGGATAAGAGGTATAAGAGTTGAAAGTTAGTTTTAGTATAGGATTTTAAGAACAATTGTAAGGAAGCTAGTCATGGAGGAGTAACATTTTAAACTTTAATTTCATTTTAATCTGTTTCAGAGACCATCATGCAGACATCAGAGACTGGGTCAGACACAGGCTCGACAGTGACCTTACAAACTTCGGTGGCTAGTCAAGCAGCAGTGCCTACGCAGGTGGTACAGCAAGTACCAGTACAACAACAGGTAAGGAGCTGCTGAACTTAGATAAGATGCTGTTACTTTCATTATATTGGCTGTCCAACATACCTGTATCCAAAGATTATTTGGACTTTACTGTCTTGCTATGACAGGCATACTTCAGTTTTTAGGTTCATTCAGCAAATGTTTCTTGAGCATTTCTTGGATATGCCAGCTTCTTTCTGTGCTAGGCTATAGGGATACAAAAATGAATACTTAAGTTACAATCTCTATTCTCAAACAGCCTGTCTTGACTCCTGAAATGAGTTATTTTTTCTGACATGACCACCCAAAGTTTTCTCCTTCTCTTCGCTCCCCATTGTTTATCACAACTTTCTATTTCTTTTGTATTGAAATGTCAGCAATATTATTCATTATTAGGTGGCTCACAGTAGTACTTAATAGGATGTATGTACCTTCCAGGCAGGGATTTTGCCTTTGTGGTATTTTAGAAAGTGCCTTGGCATTAGGTGGCTGATAAATACTGTTGAATGAAAATAGAATAATCTTAAAGGTCTGGAGATCTGACTCATGCCATTTAAAAGTTGGAAGCGAATTTATCATCAGATATTTACTACAGGTCTTATTCATATGCAGGGCAGTTGACTTGTTTTGGAAAGATACTGACAAAGTAATGCTGTTCATGTATGTGGATTGTGAACACACTGGCCTGTGATTTCTTCTAAAGAGTGGTGAGAACATAAGTGAGAAAGATCATATGTCATATAACATTATCTTGAGATTCAAGATTTGCCTATAATTTCTTAGTATTAAAGAGACTCTTTAGCAAACGTTGCTCTTACAATTATAAATAAGTGGTTAGGGAGAAGGATATAGATGGGTTATAGATGATGAAGGACATTTTTGTAAATGATAGATACAAGGTTATATTCTTTAAAGGATATAGAATTGGGTTGGGCAGGGAGTGTGGTGGAATCGTACAGAAGTCATTGGCTTTTGGGATAAGTAAAGACATCTGAAATAATCGTTTTGTGTTTTATTCTTTTTGTTTGTTTGTTTTTTGAGATAGGAGTCTTGCTGTCTCCCAGGTTGGAGTGCAGTGGCGCGGTCTCGGCTCACTGCAAGCTCCGCCTCCCGGGTTCACCCCATTCTTCTGCCTTAGCCTCCCAAGTAGCTGCGACTACAGGGGCCCGCCACCACGCCCGGCTAATTTTTTGTATTTTTAGTAGAGATGGGCTTTCACCGTGTTAACCAGGATGGTCTCGATCTCCTGACCTCGTGATCTGCCCGCCTCGGCCTCCCAAAGTGCTGGGATTACAAGCGTGAACCCCTGCACCTGGCCGTTTTGTGTTTATTTTTTAGACATTAAAAAAAAAAAATCTTAGCATACTCTACCATATATACATATACATCTTTCCCATCCCACAAGCTCCCAGTTTATTCGATTGAACTATATGTAGTTTTGATCTTTAAACAGTGTTACATGTTTCAATCTATTGCTTATGCTTCTTTTATTTCTTTTAAACATATTCTGTCTTTTTTAAAATTACAGATCCAGAGGATACATATGCAGGTTTGCTTTATGGATAAATTACATAATGGTGGGGTTTGGGCTTCTAGGGTACCCATTACCCAGATGGCGAACATTGTACCCAATCGGTAATTTTTCAACACTTATCCCCTTTCCACCCTCTCTCCTTTTAGAGTCCCCAGTATCTATTATTGTCATCTGTATGTCCATGTGTACCCGTTGTTTAGTGCCCACATTATTGGTTATGTTTTTATCTTTTTATATATTTTTTAACCATTAAAAATGAGTCCTCAAAATGGTGATTTAAAAGGCTCTGCTATTAGTAATGCCATCACCAATTTTAAGACTCCAAACCGTATTGAGAAAGGGATAGCTTATGTCATGTCATCCAAAGAGCAAGTAAAGAACAATGCAGACATTGTTATAACTAACTTTTAAAAGGTAACAGTTATCTTTTTAAAGGCAATGTTGAACATTTAACTCACTCTGGTTTTCATCTCTATGGAAGAATGGTTTTGAGAGAGTGCCTATCACTAACAAGAGTGTGATGAAAATGGTGTTCCTATCTCCAGAAGGTGCCTTCTGTAAACATGAAAAAAGTTTTCTTTTTATTGAATTTACATATTATCAAATATTTACACCAGGTCTTAATAGGTCATATAATAGTGTAAAGAGTCGAAAAATTTCGCACAGTTTGTTATTTTAAAAATATGGTCTTTAACCTTCCCCGTTCTCCCACAAACCACTCCTCATAGGCAACTACACTGACTTCTTTAAGCTTGTTATTTTGATATTTACTTCCATTTACTTAAAGATAATATACATATTTTACTGCATCTTGAATTTTTAGTTTTAAGCATTTAAAGCATTATCTTAGCATACTCTTCTTCTGGTCCCTAACACACAAACACACAACCTGACCCACCCGCCCACCCTTCAGATTCCTCATGTTCTTGACAGATCGAACCGTATTTTTTTTTATGTACAAAAACAATAATTTCATATGTCTCAATCTATGTTATGTTTTAATTTTAGTAAATAAGTATTCAGTGTTTACACTACCATGATATATAAATGCTTTTCAAATCCAGCCTTGTAGTAAGCATTGATTACCTTCCTTTCCCGTAAAACTCATTTATTTTTCTTAGATTTAATGATTGTGTTTCTTCTGGTTTGCAGGATTGTCATGGACAAGCCAAACACCAATTTGATTTCTGATCTTTTTTATGTGGTTTATGTGATTTTTTTTCTCTGAAACTTTGTAGAATATTTGAAATTCCAGTTTTATGAACTTTTTGATGATGTGCATTGATGCGGGCCTATTTTCAAATACTGTGCTAGAACCTTTGATGGGCCATTTCAGTCTGGACATTCATGCTTTTTCATTTCTGGGAAACTTTATTCAGTTTTTTCATTTGTGATTCCCTCCCCCTCTGTTTTCTTGTGTTTTTCACTTTCTGGACTTTTTTTGTTCTATTTTCAATTTCATTGTTCAGCCTTTCTATTATTTTTAAATTCTATCAGTTTTTTTTTTTAATTTTCAAGAACTTTAAAAAAGTTCCTGTGTGTTCCTTTTCGTAATATTATGTTTTATTTCATGGTTTTCTTTTTCCTCTCTGAAGATACTAATTTGTTTTAAGTTGTTGAATTTTTTTTTCTCTTTATCTTGTCTCTTTTAAGGTACCCTATTCTGTTTTCTTTTGTTTTTTACTATGTCTCTGTCTTTCATGTTAACAGCTTTTCTCTGATGTCTGATAATCTGTGGGTGTTTATCCATATTTTAAAATGTGGGTATAAGATACTGATTTGAATGTATGAGTGAGTCTTATTGACTTCAAAATGGGGTCATCTCACTGACGAGGCTTTTTAATTAAGAACCCTCTGATGTTCAGTATCTTTGTTTTTCCTCTTTGGCTGGTCAATTTTTTTAAGAAGACTTGTCCAACTTCCTGCCTAGTAGGGGAATGCTTGGCTGCCTGGGAGCTGAGTTGGGGAAAGAGTTGGGTATTTATTGCACTAATTTAATTAATCTTTCTCTTTTTTCATGTGATATTACCCGTGCTTGGTATTCCTCAATGCAGAGATTAAACCAAAGAACAAACTCCAAACATTTTACTAAAGTTAGGGAAGGCCAGTCACCTTACTGCATAGGGGTTGGTAGAGGGAGCCTGATTGCTTCTTAAATAGAATCACGTTTTATATTAAATACATATTAAAAACAAAAAATTGGATTTCTGTCAGAAGTGGAAAATCAGTGTCACTAACCATAAATAGAAGATTATACATACACACCCTCACCACCCCCCCGCAACACTTCAATCTTGACCTCATAAAAATTAATCTTGTGTACACCTGGACCACACTTTGGAAAAAACATTGTACTGTACCATATGGCTCACCCCCAAGCAGGCATATTTTTCAGTTCCTCAAGTTAGCTTTTTCTTCTGGGACATTCAAGGCAGGTGATACCTTATATTCCTTTACACCAAGCAAAGAAGGTGAGAACTCTCATTTTCTTTTTGTCAACAAAGTGTTTTATTTCATGCAGTTTTTTGTTGTGATATTTGCCTGGAGACCCTTGTTATGTTGTCCTCCCAGAATTATTTGGAAGCCTGTTTTTCTTCTTTGTCATTATTATTATTTTTTTTTCTTAAGTAGAACAGTGTTAGGTTTAAGCTCCCGAGTATATTCCAGCGGTATCCCTGTGGATGTAAATTGTCTATAACTGACAAGATTAGTGCTGTAATTCCTTACTCCTCTGACATGCCTATAATGTTTGAATTGTTAATGTGCTGCTGTTATCTTGGGTTTGCAAACTATAGTAAAATCCTTTAAAAGTTTCTAGCTTTTGTTACTGACCCGTAATGGATATAGCAATTATGATATTGATGTCAAAGGTAGTTACTTCTATTGATTCAATTTTTCATTGTAACTTTGCTTTGTCGATTTTGACATAAAGAGAAAGTTTATAGCTAATGTTTTAAAATTTTGAGACATTTCAATATTATATATAGGTTGATGCAAAAGTAATTGTGGTTTTTGCCATTAATTTTAATTTAATTTTTGCACCAACCTAATATACTAGAATGATGAGTGTATTAGTCCATTTTCATGCTGGTAATAAAGACATATGTGAGACTGGGTAATTTATATAGGAAAAAGCACTTAAGGGACTTACAATTCCATGTGACTGGGGAGGCCTCACAATCATGGCACAAGGCAAGGAGGAACAAGTCACGTCTTACACAGATGGCAGCAGGTCAAGAGAGAGAGCTTTTGCAGGGAAACTCCCATTTCTCAAACCATCAGATCTCATAAGACTTATTCACTATCATGAGACCAGCACAGAAAAGACTTGCCCTCATGAGTCAGTTACCTCCCACAACATGCAGGAAATGTGGGAATTACAATTCAAGATGAGACTTGGGTGGGGTCATAGCCAAACTATATCATTCCACCCCAGCCCCTCCCACATCTCATGTGCTCAAATTTCAAAACCAATCATGCCTTCCCA